TGCTTACAACTGTCTCAGGAAGTGAAAGCACCAGAAAGTACATGAGGTCATACGCAGCTGTCATCCGTACGCAAGGAAGTAGGCACAAGATGCCGAACACCCATAGCAGGATGCAGCGCACCCTTCATGCGACTCGCCGAATATCTCACGGCGCTTCGCGCTTGGTGATGTGAGAGCCTGGTCCGGTGAGAACCCGGCGTGCTCCGTCCCGGCTTTGTAGGGACGCGAGGTCAATGGTCTAACGACACGGCATGCACGACTATGAGTACACCCCCCCCCTCTCTTTGTTGTTGTGCGTGCCTAAGATGCCCGGGGAAGCCTCACTATGACATGGCGCCGGACGGGCCCCTGCTGCTCCACGGATGCCGGTTTCGATCTCTCAACTTCCAGTACACGCCGGAGGTAATCTCAAAGTTGTATCTCAACCTACCTTGATCTTGTTGCCATCGACATGTTGTTTCAAAAAAAAATCACACATTGACTCGGTCCTGTGGGAACAATGCTCCGTCCTCTCGAGGACGCGTATTCAATGGTCTAACCGCTACAGCATGCAAAACATGAGAGTACGCTTTTCCCCGTGATGCAGAATCTATGTTGCCTCCAAGAACACCTGGAACGCTTGAGGGAGCACGGTACAAACACGAAAAATCACACACCCTCCTACCCCCGGGATGCAGAATCTGTACTGCCTCCAGGAACACCTGGAAAGCCTGTGGGAAGACGCGGCTATCACGGCCGCTCGTCTCCTGAACAACCTCGAGTACCTCGCCGGTGTTACCATCTCAGCAAAGGTCGGCTGTGCTGCGGTGGTCAAAATTCTGGACTTCCGTTCTTTATTTTGTGTGTATGTGGAGGCAACGGGTTAATGAGCAAGGTGTAGCTTCTATCTTCATGACGTTTGTGATGTGCATGTTTCGTCCCATTTTTTATCTGGGTGTTTGCCGAACTTGCCTTCTCGTGCGATTTTTTTTTTTATGAAGAAAGGATGTGTTGGTGGCGGTGGGGGATCCCATCCGTGGCACATGTTCGCGTGGTGCTTTCATACTTTGCATTTATTTTGTTCTTGCTCTTTTTTCGTCAGGACCTGGATGCGTTCGCCGCCTTCAAGCACGCCCTCAAGGGGTCCAACGACCAGCACTACTCGGTCGTGGATCACGGGGAGCAGGGAAGGCGCCGCGAGAAAGAGCTAAAGCAGCAGCAGCAGCAGCAGCAGCAGCAGGGTGGGACGGGGGACTCTCAAGGCACTCGTCCAGGAGAAGAGACCGCTGGACGCGGCGGCGATGGTAAGACAAAAGGCCCTCAGCAGCTTTCACATTGTACTGCTGGGTAGGTGTTTCGACCAAGGATTAAATACAGCTCGAAAGCATGCTGCAAACCAACGTGAAGAATGCAAGAGAAAATGTTGTTGATCTTTGACTCTCTTGTCGCAAGAAACCAGAAGGTTGATTTATCCATTTTTTTTGTATTTTGGGTGCTGCATATCTCTAATACGCAGAGAACATGACGTGGAGGGAGGGGCTCCGTCGATTGCGAGGCATGGGGCTCGGTGTTGGGCAGGTCCTGGGACGCAAGGGGCACATGCCGATGGAACGAAGGCAGCAGGGTTTGCACTACAACGAGCTTGTGGAAGGACTGGGGGGAAAGAAGAGGTAAGAATTTTCGTAGACGACGACATGAACGATTCTTACAGGCTAGCATTGGAATCGTCAGGTGTAGCTTTGTTGACTATGCCAAGTGATCTGGAGTACAATAAGGAACCTACCTCGTAGCCTGTCTATGTCAACAATCAGAAAGTGCACCGTCAACTTTTCTAATTTTAAACGATGGTTTTCATATTGCGAGAGAAAATCATCAAGGGAGAAAAACGCAAACTGAGCGCCGTTCCTTTCTGACGGACCGGACTTTGAGTCGAAGGACACGCGCTACCCGTAAGGCCGTTGTTCTCGAAAGGCTGCAGAGGAGACAACGTTTTGGTTGCTCCTCTACGCGGGGAGATTGTTGGTGCTTCAAACGGTAGCACGTGACCAATGGTTGATGAGTCTTGTCCTCTCGGCGCGCGGCGCTACGTTGTTGCGGTTTTATCCTACAGATGCGCCTTTCGTTTTTTTTTTTTGCTTCGAGCAGTACAATCCCTCTGCTGAAAGTGTGTGATTTGCCTGGTCTTCATGTAGGAGGCATTTCCCTAGTGTCTGTTTGTCAACGTCGCGCGTACAGGTTGCAGAGACAAGCTCTTCTTGTGGCACTTGCGGGTAGGTTGTGGGTACGATATACGTACTGCTGTTTTTTTCATAGGTTTTGAACAGCCGCTAAGCGGCTAGCTCTTGACGTTCGTGCTTCGGCGTACGTACAGCAGACAAGCCGCGACCAGCACTGATTTATGCAATAGTTGCTGTGGTATAACAAGTAGTTCGCGCGTGGACCGGGAGAGTCTCACTACTGCTGTCGTTTTGCCCTGCAACACAACACCTCTCTCCTCCATTCAAACTCTCCGCTCCTCTTGTCTCTGATCGCTTTGCAGGGAGCGGTTAGACCGGCATCTGGCCATGAAGGCTGCGGGTATGGAGTCCGGGGAAACGGACGCCTTCTACAATGCCATGGCCGACCAGGGAATTCCGGAATAATATCGTCTCCGCTGCAAACTTCGATCTTCGATGATTTGCATGTCGGTGCACAAAATGGTTTTGTGAGGTTGTGCTTTAGACGCTAAGCACATTTGTGCCCTACGACGTGGGGTACGGAAAGGGATTGTAGCGTATTTGTTGCGGGGGGGGGGGGGGG